TTCTACTTGCAGCCTCATTTCTGTCACCGAATTGGTCACCACTTTCTGACTACGATTCCTTCTTCATTGTTTCCAACTTTTGCATTCCCACCGCCAGTTATTTAGTAACATATCTTGGTTGCTTATTTGGTCAATTTTACACTGCAGAATTTGGTAAAAATCTTCAATTTATTTTTTTTGGCTTTAGCTATTGATGTGTATATTTGAGTAATAGTCTTATTAACAGATCTTCCTCATATGTGTATGGATAATATCCTATCACTCACAAATTATATTGCAGGGCAGAACCTGAAACTGTCTTTTAAACTATGAATGCAGCATAATTCTTCTTCTTTTTTCATTGATAGCATATAAATATATACCATATAATTGTCTGGGTAAAGAGGCCAAAGTCAGTCCATCTCATCTCACTAATGCCTTTAGAATGTCAACAACGGTCATACATTCCATTGAATTTTCACAGCTTCTAGTTGTTCTACATTCATGCTTCGTACATACCACGTTCCATTCATTCATTGACGGATGTTTGGAGCTGTTTATCCTCATCTTGATTGACTTCCATTTTGGAGTCTACCTTTAATATTGTAACTATCTGCGCTCCTCTATTGTTGACAGGATTTTCAGAGGCCTCTTATTAAAGAAAGACCAATATTCAATGTTGCCGCCCACCTGGCTACATGTTTGGTTGGTTTTGGGTTTTGGTGTTTGGTGTGTTTTCTTTGTCTTGTTATTTTGGTGTTTTTTTTTAAATCCACCCTCTCCCTACTCCACCACCAACCCTTCCTACTTTTGCTTACAACATTCAACACCCGTCTCCCATTGACCAGCCCCTGATGTGATGTCCTAAGTCTCAAGTAATCAGGATTCCTCTGATTCTGTAGATGGCCCAACCTGCTTCTTTGCCTGTCTTAATCTGGGACCCTTACAATGCCCTGTTCACCATAGTGCCTCTTCTGGCATTTGGCATACTGGTGGCACAGCTATTGGTATCACAGCAACCCACAAGTTATATGAATACAGCAGACCAAAAGATAAATGGTGTACTAGTAAGAACAATAATAAACATGAAAGAATAGAAATACTTAACCTATAAGGTAATTTGATTTGCAGGTCATTTCCTTAAGACAATAAACTGATAGATAAGCCAGTTTATGTATATCGAAAATACTGCTGGATAAAAGATTTTATCACAGCCAATATGTAAAAATAAACTTTAAGTTTACTAATCTATGAAGAGGGCAAAAGGCCATTACAGAAGATAAAGAAAAGAGCAAAATGGATGATAGAAGAGAGCCTGAACATTTCACTAGAGTGCTGAGAAGCCAAAACAAATGGAAGAGATGCTGAAATAAAAGAGATAAATAGAAGATTTCAAAAGGCTGCTTGGGAAGACAAAGCAAACTCCTGTAACTGCATGTGAGAGATCTACAATTGGAGAATCAAAAGGGAAGAGCTCTCTCAGCATTTCTCAAGATGAAAGAACTGAAAGACATATTCAAGCCTTGAGATGCTCTTGAAATGATCCAGGAAACATCCAAAGAAGATGGAGGGAATGCATAGAATCACTGTACCATAAAGAATTGGTCAATACGGGAACATTTCAGGAAGTACCATATGATGAAGAGCCAATTATTTTTTTTTTCTGTGTCTCACTTTTTTTTGAAAAAAAAAATCCTGATTTATTTACAAAGTTTGAATACACTGTTTTTCACACAAGATCCTTTGCATTTCCTTCACGTCCCCATCGAATTGTGCAACCCTATGATTAACACCTCCTCCGTCCCATCCAGCCCTACACTTCTGCTTCCAACCCCCCTTCTTAGATCCTCATACTCATTCTACAATAACGGTTTTATATGGTATTTGTCATTGTGGGATTGAGTTCACTCAGCATAATGCTCTCCAGTCTCTCCCAAGTTAGACAGTAATTTACAAAATCATTGCTCCTGCATACTCTGTAGTACTCCATTGCTGAAATGTACCACAACTTCTCAATCCATTTGCTTGTAGTTGGTCATTTGGCCTATTTCCATGTTCTTGCGATGGTAATAACAGTGCAATGAACACTGGTGTATAAGTCTCTGTTTGAGTCTCTGTTCTCATTTGCAATAGATTCCAAGCAATAGAATATCTATATCATGTGGAATTTCTGTGTTCAGCTTTTTGAGGAAATGCCAAACTGCCTTCTATAGTGGTTGGACCATTTTACAATCCCACCAACAATGTATAAGAGTTCCTATCGCACCACATACTCTCCAACATTTATTACTTGCTGTCCTGTTAAACTTTGCCACTGCTACTCAATGAGATGGTATTTCATTGTGGTTTTGATTTGCATCTCTCTTACTGCCAGTGATTTTGAGCATTTCTTTATGTGTCTGTTGGCCATTCAAATATCTTCCTCTGTGAAAATTCTTTCCATGTCTCTTGTTCATTTTGTAACTGGATCATCAGTCCTTTTCTTGTGGAGACCTAGGAGTAGTCTATAAACTTTCATTATGAAAATCTTGTTTTGAGAAGGTATTGCCAAATGTTTGTCCCCAGTCAGTAGGTTTTCTTTTCACCCTGTTGGAAAAAGTTTTCGATGTACACAGGGATTTAACATTTAGAAATCTGTCAATTTATCCTCTTCAGGTTGTGCATTTCTGGCTGTATTTGGCAATCTTTTTATACTACAGACTTGGCCTTCTAAGCTTGATCTCAGTTTGCCCAAGAAGGAAAATGTTCAAGCTTCATTGAGGGAATGGCAAAAAATAAGGCCCTAGAAATTGATAGGATACCAATTGGCACGGTTCACATGACAGATGCAACCCTGGATGCGCTCTCCAGTCTATGCTAGGAAATTGGGAGACAGCTGCCTGGCTGACTGACTGGAAGAGACTTATGTTTGTTCCTATTCCCAAGAAAGGTGATCCAACAGAAAGTGGAAATTATTGAACAATATAATTAATAGTGCATGCAAGCAAAATACTGCTGAATATCATTAAAAAATACTAGAACAGTATGTAGACAGGAAATTGCCAGATGGTCAAGCTGGATTTAGAAGAGGCCATGGCAACAGGGATAGAATTACTGAAGTCAGATGGATCCTGGCTGAAAGCAAAAAGTACCCCCCCAAAAGACATGATTTATGAGATATATGTGATTTATTGACTATGCAAAGGCATTTGACTGTGTAGATCAAAGCAAATTGTGGCTAACATTGAGAAGAAAGAGAATCCCAGATCACTTAATCATGTTCATGTGAAACTTACACCTACACCAAGAGGCTTCTGTTTGAACAAAGCAAGGAACACTACAGGGTTTAAATTTAGTAAAATTATGTATCAGAATTGTATCCTTTCTTCTTAATCTGTATGCTGAACAAATTATTTGAGAAGCTATACTCTACAAAAAAAGAATGTGGAGTCAAAACTGGAAAAAGACTCATCAATAACCTTAGTTATGTAGCTAGTATAACCTCACTTGCTGAAAATGAAGAAGACTTGAAGCACTTGCTACAGAACATTAAACACTGCAGCCTTCAATATTTATTGCATCTAAATGTCAAGAAAACAAAAATCCTTGCCACTGGCATCATCATGATAAATGAAGAAAAGACTGAAATTGTCAGTGACTTCATCTTACTTGGATCAACAATCAACAATCAATACACTTGGTGCCAGCAGTCAGGAGATGTATTACTCTGGGAAAGTCTGTAGTCAGGGACCTCTCCAAATTATTGAGGAACAATGATGTCAGTTTGAGGACTAAGGTGAACTTGATTCAGGCCATGGTCTTGACTTGATAGGACATAACAGCAACAACAACAACAACAAAATTAATGACCTGATTATATGCCTGCCTTTGGGTCAACAGCACAACTCCTTACGCAGTAGACTATGAGAGCTCTCCTTCATTAATGTATACACAGCTTCTTACCACTAGGCCACTAGAGCTCCCTTTACATGCACTTTTGGGAACACAGGTCAATCCATGACATGAAGTCAAATCACAAGGAAACACATCAATTCACACTCACTAGAATGGTGAGAATTGTTTTTACGGAGAATACTAAACATTAGATATGGTACGGAGAAAACAGAACTCGCACATTGTTTGTGGGAATGTAAAACAGTACAGCCACTGAATAAACCAGTTTGACATTTCTTCCAATGATTACCATACGACCTAGACATTTTAGTCTTGTTTGTTGATGGTATGTGCCATTGAGTCGTTTGCGACTTATAGCAACCCTATGCATAAGAGCTCTAAACGCTGTTCTATCCTGTGCCAACCTAGCCATCTCAAACACACTCATTCCCACCACTCCAGTCACAGAATTGAGTCATCTCATTGAAGGTCTTCGTCTCTTTTGCCACCCCTCCACTCTGCCAAACATGATGTCCCTCTCCAAGGACTAGTCTTAGGTATTTCAATTCAAAGAATTAAAAGCAGGCACTCAAAACAAATATTTGTAAATGAATCTTCCTAACAGCCCTACTCACAATAGACAAAGGGTGGAAATCACCAAATGTCATGGTCAACGCCCTTTATTAATAAATGTCATATATTAGAATATCTTGCTTGAGCCATCTATTAGCCAATATTGGTAAAGCAGAAAGTGGAATGCAAGAGGCACACTTTCTCCAACTCTAAATAAATTGATCTATCATGATAAGAAAATAGGTAGTGCTATTTCACCTGTAGTACTATCTAATCTGTTCTAACTAGTATCCAAGAAGCCATTATATATAAACTCATCTGGGAACTCCTTTGGCAAAGGTTTGTAGGTTTCCTTATCAGTCGCCCTCATCTAGAATCTTACTAATTGGCTGTGAAAGAATATATTACTCACACTTCATAATGTTTGGGGTGTTTTGCATCCAGCCACAGATGTACATTTGTATGTCCGGAAGACTTCAATGTATATCAGGCAATGGCTAACATTTCAGCATGACAGGGCTATAGAAATTCTATACAGAATATGCCCTGTATAACAGGAACATTTTAGAACTTACCATAAGGAAAAAGTACCATGGCTGGGCCACACCATACTGCCCTGGGAAAACATTTTCTATGTACCAGGTCACAAGGCTATACAAAAAAGCATCAAGTAGCAGCATTCCCAACAAAGAGCCAAAGATGAGGTTATCCTCAAGAATGACTTGTGTCCAAAGGTTATCCCATTTAACGCCAATCTCTGGAACAAAACAAAAGACAGTTATTATTAATGAAAACGTTATTATTTAATATATCTAGATTTTGCCATTATAAGCCATCTGTTTGCTTGATATCACTTATCTTCAGGTCAATCAATAAAATGACAATGTTGGGTATTTCTGTCCTGTCTTCAAAAGCTTAAGATAATGGAATACAATCAAGAAGCCAGAAATCAACCCATCTACCTACTGTTATTTGTCAAGGGAACAAAATCTATTAAGTGGGAAAACAACAACTTCTCCAACAAATGGTGCTGACAAAACTGGACATCTACTTGCAGAAAACTGAAGTAGGTTCCACATCTTGCATCATAAACAAAAACAATTCAAAGTGGATCAGACTGAGACATGAGAGAGAAAACAGGAACAAACTTAGAAACTCCAGCCTACAACATAAACAGTCTTGCAAATATACCCAAATATGCAGAACCAGGAGAAGAGAAAATTGATGATTAGGACCTTTTAAAAATAAAATACCTGTGAGCATTAAAACTTTATCCCAAGAGAGTGAAAAGATAGCCCACAGACTGGGGAAAAACATTTGGCAATGACATTCAGATGAAGGTCTCATAAATAAAATTTACCTATGATTAAAACAAGCTTGGATGCAGGAGTGGCATCCACTTCTGAAACAGCTTGCCTCCAGAAACTCTATGAACCTGGAGAAACAATGAAAGTTATACAACTGTCCAGGTCTTTTGTTCATAGGGTCACTATGAGTCGCCTATGACTTGACAGCACTTAACAGCAACAACAATGTTCATAGCTTCATTATCAATATAGCAAGAAAATAGGAACAATCCAAATGCCCATCAACAAATAAATGGACAGAAAAAACCCCGTTATATTTACACAATGGAATACCATGCAGCTCTAAAGAACAATGAAGCATTCGTAAAGTATGACACAACAAAGAATGTCTAAAGAGCATTATGTTGAGTCAAATAACTCAGTCACAAAAGGACAAATCTTGCATTAAGACTTCTATTGTGCAAAACAACTATGAGATATCATCTTACCCCGGTCAGAATAGCAAAATTTAACAGAAGAGCAAACAACAAATGCTGGCACATTTGTGGAGGAACTGGAACCCTTATTCACTGTTGGTGGGAGTGTAAAATGGTGCAACCACTGTGAAAGGTGGTATGGTGCTTTCTCAAAAAGTTGCAAATAGAGATACCATTTGACTCAGCAATTCCACTACTGGGAATATACCCCAAAGAGGCCATAACTGACATCCAAGCAGATATATGCACACCCATGTTTATCGTGGCTTTGTTCACAATAGCAAGGAGTTGGAAACAACCCAGGTGCCCATCAACAAACGAATGGACAGAGAAGCTGTGGTATATCCACACAATGGAATACTATGCTGCATTGAAAAACAAGGAACTCATGCAGTATTATTCAAAATGGGTGACCCTGGAGGACATTATGTTGGGTGAAGTATCTCAGTCACAAAAGGACAAATACTGCATGGTGCCACTGTTGTAAAAATGACATCAGGATTGGGGGATACTGAAAAAGATGGGGATAAATAATGCATACTGCATTAAAACAGATGAGGGAGAAAACTGTTTAAAAGGGATACGTGATTAGGTATTTTTGTCATGATAGGAGTCCAGAGCAAAGGCTGCATAGTGGAGTGGACCTGGGGGAGGGATTGTAAAACAATGAAAGGGGGGGAGGGTTGGGAGGGGAGAAAAGTACAATGAATGAATGGAAATCCAAAGTCTATAACTTTTCATTGAAACAAATTGAAAAAAAGAAGTAACAGATAAAAAGTAATTAATTCTATAAAAAATAAAGTGTAGAAATGATTGGATAAAATGTACATGAATTTAAAAAAGACTGCCACTGTGGCAATATGAGGGTATTTGGGGGGGGGGTTAGGGAGGGAAGGAACAAATAAAAATGTAAAGAGTCGACAAAGAAGACCACAAAGACCAAGACAAGTGAGGACCAACCTGAGAAGATTTTCGATAAAGACAACATAGCTATTGAAATTAGCATATTGGAAAAAAGGTAGCTAGAAAGCTAGATAGATAAGATAGGCAGGTAGATAGGTAGATAGATATTCCTGTTTAAAAGGGAAAGGAGAGAAAGGATGTGAAGGAAGGAAGAGGCAATCCCCAGAACAGCAGAGTTTAGTGGGGGAAAGGTGGGTGAAGAAATAGATAAGGTGTAACAGGGACTTGAGAAGACAAGGAGATAAATGTAATAGATTAATAGTAATCAGTAATGTAAAACACACAGATGATTGTGTAAAACAAAATGTATATAAATGGAATAAGGTATAGGAATGATTGTATAAAAAGTGAATGATAAGAAATTTTTAAAAATCTCACAACATTATAAATAGTAACACAAAAATAATGAACAAGAAAGAGTCAATAAAAACATAAGTATCAAATAATAAAAATGCCAATTAAGCAAACTTTTTAAAACTAACATTAAATTACCTATGACCAAAGCAGCCAATGAAACACCAGTCCTTTTGGAACGTGTTCCTTCTCCTCTCTTCCAAGTTCTCAATTTCCACTGAAATAATTGTAAGGATACATGCATTTGAGAAAATACTCAATAGCACTAGGGATAAATGGTGAACAGTAGGTTGAGAGTAAAAAGATGTTTTGCTCAGATACACTGACGAGAAGGGGAAGTCTCTGCCGAAGTCAGAGAAATGGTCTTTTCCACTTCTATGTCCTCTATCTGTGGACAGGACTGTAGCACAACAATAAAAATTAAGGCATGCCATGAACTGCTGGATCAAAGAGTGAAAGGATGGAGATGACAATGACCTAGGAGACTTGTTTGTGTCTAAACTTTAATTCTCTCTTGTTTCTAGCTAATAGTATAAGAAGAATATTGATGAGGACTGAAAGCCACAAGAAAAGGTCATCGTCTCATTGTCGTCCTGCTGGAACCACATGACTCAGCCCACACTCCAGAGGACTTCCAGAGGTTGGATTCACGGCATTTCACAACAGCAACAACATTTTGCACGGAAGGAGGCTGCTCATCTTTCTTCCTGGGAGCTGTTGGTGGATTCGAACCTCCAGAGAGACACCACCTTTGGGTTGGCAGTGCAGCTCCCTACTGACTATGCTACCAGAGAAGGTAATAATCTGAGAAAAAGTACACAGTGAAACAAAAAATGATTTCGTGAACTGAAAGACATTTTGAGTGGCAGTGAACAGCAAACAGAAACCACTGGGGGGTGGGAGGGGAGAAAAGGTGGAATGTCAATTTTAGGGAGTCTTTCCTCATAATTTGACACATGCTCCCAACCTGAATACCATAGAGCTCCTTCAAGAGAGAAAAAAGCAGACAGAGAAGAAGCAGAAGAACACAACTAAACAGCAAAATAAAGTAAACTAACCTGATAAAAAGAACTCACTCAGAAAAGTTGTCTGTCCCATTCCAGATCAAGCCAATGAAAATTTCATAATTAGAGACATCCTAGCCAATTTTTAATTCTTTTTTTATATAAATCATACAGAAAGCTATCACACGCACATTGTTCCTATTGGCTATTCATTGCTGCTAGCATTTTGTTCATGGATGAGAAAATGAATTAGACTCACTCTTCTTCATTAGGCAATAAATGATTTGTGATAACACAAGATTTTTCATAGAACTTAACAAAGTGATTCTAAAATTGAAGTTGAAGAAAAAAGTGACAAGAGGAATTAAAGAACACCAAGGTGGGAGTAAAGTCTAACAGATAATAATGCTTGTTATAAATCTTTTTAATGTAGAACTACTATGGTATTGATGTGAGAATAAACTAATCAAATAGAAACTATTACCAGAAACAGACTCCCAAACAGTTATGGGAGCTTATGTCACATGGGAGTGGAATTAGAAACCAGGCAAAAATAACAAACTATCTGTATTATAATAACTGAATATTCATGTCTAAAAGAATAAAAATTAATGTTATTATAAAACAATGTGAAAAAAATTGTAGTTTTTTTTGCTTCTAGAGTAAAATACAGATTCTCTCGGACTTTAAGTATGAAAGGATTTCTTTAGCATGACAAAATAATGCAAACTAAGGTAAATATAGTCAAATTAAAAAACTTTTTTTGGGAAAGAATAAGCAGCAAAGACTAAAGATATGTACACAACTTACAACGCAGTTGTTGCTATGTGCTGAGGAGTTGGGGCTGACTCTTAGTTCTCAGAGGCAGCTGTAAATCTTATGGGGAAGAGATTGCCCATCTTTCTCCCACAGAGCAGCTAGCTGATGAATTCTAACTGCCTGCTTTTGGGTTGGCAGCTCCACTCCTTACCTACTGGGTCACTAGAAGTCCCTTTACAACACAAAGAGGATTCAAATTCCTTTATGCCACATAAACAAATCAGATCTACTTCCTAAGTGTAAATGAGAGCTGTAGTGTGCTTTATCGAAAGTTATTGAAAACTCTTATCTATTGTTACATAGGGTTTTCAGAGGCCTGCTATTTCAGAAGTGGATGGCCAAATCCTTCTTCCTAGTCTGTTTTAATCTGAATGTTCACATTGATAGGAGTATCTGACAAACAAAAAAGTGAAAGATAAATCCCTCATTGTGGAGTTAACCATTAGTTACAGTGTTGTCCCTGCCCTTGGGCCAGTGTCTTGTCCCACTTATTTCCCAGGTCCACCCTCCACCAGGAAACCCCTTCACTTCTACTGAATCCCCCCCCTTTTATTTTTTTACCAATTGATGTATTTCATCTAATGGATGCTGCCCTGGATGTGCTCACCAAGTTGTGCTAAGAAATCTGGAGAACAACCACTTGGCCAATTGACCGGAGAAGATCTACATTTGTTCCCATTCCAAAGAAGGGTGACCCAACAGAGTGTGGAAATTATAGAACAATATCATTGATTTCACATGCAAGCAAGATTCTACTGAAGATTATCCAAAAACGACTGGAACACCACATCAGCAGAGAACTGCCAGAAGTCCAGGCTGGGTTTAGAAGGGGTCGTGGTACTAGGGATACTGTAGCTGATGTTAGATGGGTCTTAGCTGAAAGCAGAGAATACCAGAAGAATGTCTATCTGTGTTTCATTGATTATGCAAAGACATTTGACTGTGTGGATCATAACAAACTGTGGCTGACTCTGAGAAGAATGCGAATCCCAGAACATTTAATCGTGCTAATGTGAAACCTATACTTCAACCAAGAGGCAGTCATCAGAACAGAGCAGGATAACACCACATGGTTCAAAATTGGGAAGGGTGTATGCCAGGGATGTGTTCTATCTCCATACCTTTTCAAACTGTATGCAGAGCAGATTATCTGAGAGGCTGGGCTCTATGAGGAGAAGTGTGGCATCAGGATTGGTGGAAGATCTATTAACAATCTGCGTTATGCAGATGACACGACCCTGCTTGCTGAAACTGAGGAGGACCTCATGCACTTGCTGCAGAGGGTCAAGGACTGCAGCCTTCAATATGGATTGAAGCTCAATGCCAAGAAGACAAAGATTCTCACCACTGGACCAATTGGCAGCACCAGGATGGATGGTGAAGAGATTAACAACTTTAGTCTGCTTGGCTCCACAGTCAACACTATTGGCAGCAGCAGCCAGGAAACCAAAAACCGTATTGTAATGAGAAAGACTGCTGTTAGGGACCTCTCCAAAGTATTGAAGAGCAATGGTGTCACTCTGGAGACTAAGGTGTGTCTGAGACAGGCTATGGTCTTTGCAATCACTTGTTATGTTGGACAATGACTAGAAAGGATAGGAGAATTGATGCCTTTGAGCTGTGGTGCTTACGTCCACAAGCTGCCTGCTGTGCCTCGTGGTGGGAGGAGTCGAAGTAATGCTGGAGAAGAATATGAATGTACCATGGACTGCCAAGAAAACAGATTCACCCTGGAAAGGGTTAAACCGGGTGGCTCCTTGGAGGCAAGGATTCTGGGGCTTTGTCTGACATACTATGGACATGTTGTAATGAGGGACCAGTCCTTGGAGAGGGATGTCATGCTTGGGAGTGTGGAGGGACGATGCAAGAGGGGAACACCCTCTACGAGGTGGATTGATTCAGTGACTGGGGTAATCGGGATAGGTGTGTCCGAAGCAATGCAAATGGCACAGGATAGAGCAGGGTTTAGGGCTGTTGTACATAGGGTCACTATAAGTCACAAGCGACTCGACAGCACATGACAACAACAACTAATCTACTGTTGGTGGGATATTAAACTGCTATACTGTTTTTGAAGGTTATTGATGTATCAGTCAAAATGCATATCATAAATACCTTATGAGACAGAATTTTCATGCCTAGGGATTTATTTTTAAAAATCGATATGTATATGTGAAAAATATATGTGCAAATTGTGAGTTGAACAATATCACAAGTATCACACGCAACAAAATCCTGTACAAGATTATCCAAAAATTACTGGAACAACAGAAATACAAACTGGGTTTAGAAGAGGTTGTGGCACTAGAGGCATTATCCCCAATATCATATGGATCTTGGCAGAAAGCAAAAAGTACCAGAACAATGTCTATCTGTGTTTCATTGACTATGCAAAGGAATTTGACTGTGTGGATCACAACAAATTGAGGCTAACCTTGAGGAGAATAGGAATCCCAGAACACTTGATTGTGCTCATGTGAGAGATCATTAGTCAACACCAGAAAGCAATCCTCAGAACAGAGTAAGGAAACACCACATGGTTCAAAATCAGGAAAGGAGTGTGTGAGGGGTATGTCCTGTCTCCATACCTTTCAATTTATATGTAGAACAGACCATTTGGGAGGCTGGGCTTTATGAGGACAAATCCAGCATCAGAATTTGGAGGAAGACTCATCAATGATTTACAATATGCAGATGATACAACCTTGCTTGCTGAAAATGAGGACCTGAAGCAATTGTTGCACAGAGTAAAGGACTGTAACCTTCAATATGGATTGAAGCTCAACATCAAGAAGAAAAAGATTTTCACCACTGGGCCAACTGGAAGCACCATAATAGAGATTGAGGTTGCTAACAATTACACCTTCCCAGGCTCCACAATCAACACTCTTGGCACCAGCAGCCAGGAATCAAAAGATGAACTCAGGGTCTCTCCAGAGTATGGAGGAGCAATGATGTCGGTCTAGAGACTAAGGTGTCCCTGATCCAGACCATGGTCTTCACAATTACTTGCTATACCTTAGAGAAATGGACAATGACTAAGGATGATAGGAGAAGAACCAATGTCTTTGAGTTGTGGTGTTGGAGAAGATTATTATTTTTTTTTTTCCTGGAGAAGATTATTGAACATACTGTGGACCAAAGAGAACAAATCAGTTTGTCTTGGAGAGGGTGAAACTAAGTTTCTCCTTGAAGATTAGGATTTTGGAGCTCTGTCTCACATACTTTGGAAATGTGGCCAGGAGGGACTGGTCCTTGGAGAACATCATGCTAGGAAGGGTGGTGGGACAGCACTGGAGAGGAAGACCCCAGGGGAGATGGATTGATACAGCGACTGGGGTAATGGGGATAGGTGTGTTGGAGTCAGTGAGACTGGCTCAGGACATGGCAGGCTTCAGAGCTGCTGTACGTGTATAGTCACTATGACTTGATGACATATAACAACAAATTGTGAGTAAGAGCAAAACAGTGGAAACCATTTGCATGTATATTGATCAAAAGACTACTTAATTTTGATACTTCTTTACAATGTTTATAATTAAATATATGATAATTATAATTATAGTATTTAGAATACTCAGAGTAATGTTAAACAACTTTGTAAAAGAATAATATGTACTTCTACATGGGAATAAGTTCAATATATACTATCAAGTCAATAAAGCATTCTGTAGCATAATAGTTATAAAACTATTCCCTTCATGAATAGAAATTGGGGTTTACTATGGAGAGATGAGAACTTTTGCTTTATACACTTTATTTTTTTAATTTAATTTATTTATTTTTATTTTTATTTTTTTATGTGTGTACCATCAAATCAGATCTGACTGGTACAGGAGGAGATTGTCCCTCCTTCTCCAGCAGAACATCTGGTGGATTAGAACCCTATGCCTCTGGGTTTACAGTGCAGCTTCTTGCCACTAGGCCACCAGATACACTTTAATTTTGAACAGTTCATATGTACTATTGGCTTTATGATAAATCAATCAGCGTAGGACTACACAAACTTGCTAACATTTTCTTACCACATCACACACTGCCTCACCCACAATACTTTTTCAGGAATCAAATGAACAATGATGATACTTGCAAGTCAAATACCCACCTTTCATTTCCAACTTGAGAAGAAGATTAATCCCCAATGCCAACGCAACATTGAAGCTGAGACAGGAAGCCACCTTCTTGGCAAGGGCTATCTCTCCATAGAAGTGAATGATGAGGTTAAATGGAAATAAGGTGGCAAAAAATAGGAAACTTCCAATAGAAGCAGCCAGATTGGCTGTAAACAAGAAGGCAATGGGAAAATCAGTTTAGAGCAATCGGTACAATTCTCAATTACAAATAACTGTAAACTACACTTATCAACATGGTGGTTGTGGTTGTTGTTATGTGCCGCTGAGTCGCCTGCGACTCATAGCAACCCTAAACCCTGCTCTGTCTCCTCTTGCCAATCTTATTGTCTCTGACACACCTATCCTCATTACCCCAGTGATGGAATCAATCCATCTCATTGAAGGTCTTCCTCTCCGGTGCTGTCCCTCCACCTTCCAAGCATGATGTCCCTCTCCAAGGACTGATCCCACGTTGCAACATGTCCAAAGTATGTTAGACGAAGCCTCAGAATCATTGCCTCCAAGGAGTAGCCTGGCTTCACCCTGTCCAGGACGAACTTGTCTGTTCTCCTAGCAGTTCATGTTATATTCAATATACCAGTGTGGTTAGATGCCAAAAACCAGGCTTAGGTATGCAAAAATAATATTATTTAAAAATCCCCTCAGAAGAGCTTGGCCCCATCACTGCCCACAGCCTTACAAAACCAGGGTATCTCAAAGGCCCTTTGGGCCCAGGGAACCTAAGACTTTCTTATTTTCAAAGTGTATTTTATCTTCTCTTCTGTATTTTCAGGATTGCGGGCCCCATCTTATCTTCTCAATGACCCTCAAATGTCCTTTGGGGCTTTTTCAGGGTCAGTGGGCTCTCTGTCTACGGACAGGAGAACTTAGATGCTCTTCTGGGGCTCTGGTACATGATGCCTGCTGGGTTCCCCTGGCAAGGAACTGAGTGTGCTGTGGCTCTTGCTGGATGGTTCTGCCCTACTCCATGCCCATGACCCCATGAGAATCCTCCAACCCTATCAAGGCCAGACCTGGCTTATTCCTTGTGCACTTAGACTGTTGCTGCTATAGTCATCTATGACCTCACCCTTGGCCAGCTATCCTGCACAATGTTACCTGTGCCTGTCCAGGAGGAGATAAAAGGAATTGTAAGAAGCTCTCCAGGTGCTGGTAAACCTATGTGGGCTCCCAGATGCTCCAGACAGACAGCCCTCTGTTAGCTCTCTTTTTGACCACAGCTCGACTTGTCTCTGCTCGCTCTCATAGCTAGGAGATGGGGCCAGACCTTAGATTCCTATTTTCTCCCTGAGTCCAAGAATGGCCCACTTTCACTGCTTCTGCCCTGATCACTGATCCCTGTGGGTACCCAGGACCTGCCAGGCATTGCAGAGACCCCGTCAGCCCTATTCCAGTCCTCTCCCCACTCCAGACAGTATGCCAGTGCTTGGGGAGACAGAGCCAATTCTTCTCTCCTGGCCAATGAAGTACTATGTAGTACAAGCTGCCTTTCTATGTGTATATGGGTTCTGCTGGTCAGGAATAATGTGACCTTGACATTCCTTACTGCTGCATGTGCCTCCATAATGGAAAAAGTAGTCAGACAGTAGACATAAATGCAAAATGTCAGATAATGAGACAGTATGTGAGATATAGTATAAAACAAGCATTGTAAGAGGCTGATGTTCAATACAGTTGTGAAAAAGAATGCTTGCAAAAGTGCAACAATGAATGACCAGAAACCCTAAGTCTCTGTTAAACTTTCATGAAAATTAATTAAAAAAAGTAAAGTAAAAAAAAAAAAAAGAACGCTCACATTGGTGGCCCAGTGGTAAGGAGGCGAGTTGCCAACCCGAAGGTATGGAGTTTGAATCCACCCTCAGCTCCACAAAATAAAGATGAGTAATCTCCTCCTATGTGGTTCACCTGCTGGAAGGTTGTCGGCTGGCTATGGGTCAGTTTTGGCTCCATAGTACGTAACAGCAGCAACAGTTTGAAGAACCTAGACATATTTCAGCTAACAGATGCTGCCCTGGATGTGCTCACCAAGTTGTGCTAAGAAATCTGGAGAACAACCGCTTGACCAACTGACTGGAAGAGATCTATATTTGTTCCCATTCCAAAGAAGGGTGACCCAACAGAGTGTGGAAATTATAGAACAATATCATTGATTTCACATGCAAGCAAGATTCTACTGAAGATTATCCAAAAATGACTGGAACACCACATCAGCAGAGAACTGCCAGAAGTCCAGGCTGGGTTTAGAAGGGGTCATGGTACTAGAGATATTGTAACTGATGTTAGATCGGTCTTAGCTGAAAGCAGGGAATACCAGAAGAATGTCTATCTGTGTTTCATTGATTATCTAAAGGCGTTTGACTGTGTGGATCATAACAAACTGTGGCTGACTCTCAGAAGAATGGGAATCCCAGAACACTTGATCATTCTAATGTGAAACCTATACTTGGATCAGGAGGCAGTCGTCAAAACAGAGCAAGGAAACACTGCACGGTTCAAAACTGGGAAAGGTGTACACCAGGGATGTGTCCTATCTCCACACCTTTTCAACCTGTATGCAGAATAGGTTATCTGAGAGGTGGGGCTCTATGAGGAGAAGTGTGGTGTCAGGATTGGTGGAAGATCTATTAACAATCTACATTATGCAGATGACACAACCCTGCTTGCTGAAATGGAGGAGGACCTGAAATGCTTGCTACAGAGGGTCAAGGACTGCAGCCTTCAGTATGGATTGAAGCTCAATGTCAAAAATACAAAGATTCTCACCACTGGACCATTTTGCAGCATCAGGATGGATGGTTAAGAGATTGAGATTGTTAACAACTTTAGTCTGCTTGGCTCCACAGTCAACACTCTTGGCACCAGCAGCCAGGAAATAAAAAACATACACACATATTTCGAGGGGAAAGTCTGCTGTTAGGGACCTCTCTAGGGTACTGAAGAGCAATGGTGTCACTCTGGAGACTAAGGTGTGTCTGATAGAGGCTACGGTCTTTGCGATCACTTGTTATGCATCAGAGAGTTGGACAATGACTGAGGAGGATAGAAGGAGAATTGATGCCTTTGAGCTGTGGTACTGGAGAAGAGTATTGAATGTACCATGGACTGCCAAGAAAACAAACAGATTCATCCTGGAGAGGGTTTAACTGGGCTGCTCCTTGGAGGCAAGGATTCTGGGGCTTCGTCTGACATACTTTGGACACGTTGTAAGGAGAGACTGGTCCTTGGAGAGGGACATCACGCTTGGGAGAGTGGAGGGACGGCACAGAAGGGGAAGACCCTCTATGAGGTGGATTGATTCAGTGACTGGGGTCATCAAGATGGGTGTGTCAGAAGCAGTGAGATTGGCAGAGGATAGAGCAGGGTTTAGGGCTGTTGTACATAGGGTCGCTATGAGTTGCAAGTGACTCGACGACACATAACAACAACAACAACAGATTTCTAATATTTCTTTATATATTTTGGATGTGAGTCATTTGGAGTAGCGTATCGGGCAGATGAAAGTGTTAAGGAAATACGCCAAGAGTTCCACAGATTTGTTATAAGAAGATGTAAAATCAAGCCTCACATTGACTAAGCAAACATTCAGCGCAAGTGAACTTACTGCTAGAACAAAAGTCAGCATGACCTTTCATAATACATGTTATTACTGTCACGCAATAAAAATACCAGAAGGTTAAAGAGGCTGACAAATGTGACCAATAATGTTTTTAGAGAGAGCAATCAAAAGAATCAAATGAATCTCTAAATGACAAGAATGGTAGTATTAGGAGAGGAAGAATTTTAACAGTCTTATTATGAATGTTCAAAGATGAAATGAACACGCCACCCAGCCCAAGACATTTTAGGAAGAAAATATAACTTCCGAAAAGGTTTATGCAGATAGATGTCACTCATGAACTTAGAAGCTAAAATCCTCAACAAAATATTAATAAAGTAAATGCATCAGTATACAGACATAATTACGCATCATGAACAAGTATGGATGTCAGACATCCTCATAACCACTCTAAGCTCATAACCATAGTATGAGTGAACTCATACAAAATGTCCTTAATCACTACAGTAATTAATTGTGACAATAAAATATATGAAACAGTATGCATGTGGATACCAACATCCAGTATTCCCAGAAAAAAAGCACAAACCCTAATTGTTTGCACAAATAACAGTGGCAGAGTGAATCACTTTTAGGACATGTAAGGACTTGTTGAATGTTCCCAAAATTTAAGTTCTTAGTCACCAGCCTAGGGCTCATCTTTCAAACAAGTCTTTCTAGGGATAATAGCTTCACTCTTCTTTTTTGTGTATAACTGCAAATACCATCTGGAAGTTGTAAAAACCAATCAGCCTATTATATATGCAATAATGTGTTAGACAGTTTGAATGCCTGTGATATTTAAAGTGTTAGCTACAAAACTATATATCATGAAACACATCACCAAAGGGGATGTTCTAAGGCTTTAGGAAAGGGAAAAAAATGATATAAGATATATAATAGTTGACATTTATGGCCTAAAAGTAAGCATTATTAGTCCTTTAGAGAATTTTTTCTTATAATGACTAGTAGAGAAGTTCATGATTTAGTGGTAAGAAATGGCACTGCCAATCCAAAAACAGGCGGTTTGAATCTACCTAAAGTGATTCCCAGGGAGAAAGATGGGTAACCTCCTCCTGTGGGATTTACTGCCTTTGAAAATCCGCCGGAGGGTCAGTTAAGAGTCACTTCTGACTTGATGGTACAAAACAAACAAAAAAGTAGATAATTATTTCTATCAAATTTTTCATTAGACCAATCTGGGATTATCCAGTCAAATGTACTATTCTCATGTGAGCCAAAGAGCCAATTTTCATTTTGCCTTTAAATATGAGCCAGGGTCTTGCTTGACATGGTACGTGCACACATTGGACTTGCTGGACTAATAAATGAATACCTTCAACCTTGACTTGCTTTCAGAAATGATTTAAAAGTAACGTTTGCAATAAACAGAACTCTACCTACCCTAAATTCCAGAATATCACATTCTTATTTTCTATCCTGCTCTTTGCACTTCCTAGTGGTAAGAAGCTGTGCTGCAATCCCTAAGGCATGTGGTTCAAAACCATCAGCTGGTCTGCAAGAGAAGGACGGGCAATCTCCTATGCAATTAACTGCCTCTGAAAACCTGCTGGAGGGTCAGCTTTGGGTCCGTTCCAAGTTGACGGTACACAACAACAACAACAACAACAACAACAACTTAGCACTTCTTTCCAAACAGGTCATATGCCATTCCCAAATATTATTCTATTTTGATCAATGAAAAGATTTTATGCCGCAAGAGGAGTCCAAGACTCACCTTTACTGAAGAAGGTGCTGACCATAAAGCCGAAGCATATCGAAGCAATGGCATAACACATAAAAAAGACAAAGATGAAACTAAAGTCACTGTAGCAGAAGACTGGCTTATCTATAATCTACAATAAAACAATTATGAAGTCAGGTGAGTAACACAATAAATGGTCGCATAAAGAGGAGAAAAATGATAGTAGCCCCAGGGATCCAGGTCACAATGACCAGTGATTGAAATGAAATGAGATGGATTACTGTCACAGCAGACTGCAACCTATTAGAACTGTGCTGTCTCATATGGTAGCCATGAGCACTGGTGGCTTAGCGGTAAGGAATTGTGCTTTCAACCCAAAGGCAAGTGGTTTGAATCCACCAGCTGCACTGAGGCAGAAAGACGGGCAGTCTACTCTCATGTGATTTAGTGCCTTTGAAAACCCATTGGAGAGGGTCGGCTATGAGTTGGTTTGACTCCCCTGCCCACAAACAAAACCCTACATACAGTATTCTATTGACCATGTGAAACGTAGTTAATATTACTGAGGTCCTGAATTTTCATTTTATTTTAATTATTTTGCCTTTAAGTTAAAAAACTGAGACAGTGTCAAATACAGATCAAATATCTCTAATGAAAATTTGACAGATATATTGTAAATATAGAATATGTAATTAAGGTTGGAGACACAATGAAAAATATTTGTATAAACTAATTGTTGTTGATTAGGGTTTTCCCCCAATATTTACATGCAGAAATAATAGTACACTTGCTATAGTGGGTTACCTTAATTAGTAAAATAATTTCACCTGCTTCATCCTACCTTTTTATTTCTAGCGACTATGAAACATTGAGCGTAACATGTGTGACTCAGATTATTTGTATTGAACAGTTTTTTAATCAGACACTTGCCTTGGTGAAGAACAGGACACATATCAAAGAGATAATGATGATATGTAAAAGGAAGAAGGTGAAGAAATAGGCAGCCCAGATAATCCAGTTCCTGAGTCCAATGATCAGCTGGTACTCCTGTGGGGAAGTGGAAACAACCCAAGGACGTGTATCAGCAGAACAGCATGGCTGATTTTTTTCTCCATGGTGTTAAAACTAATAAAACCAAGGCTCAGAAAGTTGAGAGTCTTACTCAAATTATATCGTCAGTAAATGATGAGACTAAAATGCACTTATCCCAAATTACAGAGGTCTTTCTCAATACTACATCTGGTACTGAACCAAAACAGAAAATTTCAAATTATACTTGAAAGCACTGAGATAAAGCTTTCTTCTTTCCCTTACACTTGACTTTGAGGAGCAGTAAATTATCTCTGTTTTTAAAATGCAAATATAGGCAGTAAAAATAAAGATGAGGATAAAACTATGAACATTTTTCTTCGGAAATAGGTGGTTCCAGATGACACTTAAAGCTTCAATGATGCAAAATCATTAACTAAATATAATAACTAAAGTTAGTTATATATAAATAGAACTGAATAGATAATAAGTAATATAAATAATATATAATAAACATAAATAGTAAAAATAAAGTCTGAGGATGAAACTATGAACATATTTTCCAGAAACACTTGGTTCCAGATGACACTTAAAGCTTTAACATTCAAAATCATTAATTAGCTATAATTTAGTTAATACAGAAATTCTCTACGAAGCCTGTAGCATTACAGATTGGCTTTCTGAGACAGATGTTTCTAGCCTTGTCATGAAATTGAAGGGCTTCTGCAGCAGAAACTGAGTATCTCACCACCAGCAAAGATGAGGCAGAGAATGCAGAGGGCAAGTCCTTTGCATCAAAGATTCCTGTGGCACGCTGACCAGAGCAGCAGCCGCAGGAGAACCACAGACCTGGCAAGAGAGAGGGCTGACATGCACACCCATGTTTATTGCAGCTTTGTTCACAATAGCAAGGAGTTGGAAACAACCTAAGTGCCCATCAACAAACGAATGGCTAGAGAAGCTGTGGTATATTCGCACAATGGAATACTATGCTGCATTAAAAAACAAGGAATTCATGCAATATCACTCAAAATGGTTGACCCTGGAGAACATTATGCTGAGTGAAATGTCCCAGTCACAAAGGGACAAGTATTGCATGGTGCCACTGTTGTAGAATGGGACTGTCCTTGGGGTTGGGGAGAGACTGAGTAAGATGGGTTCAATAATGTATGCTGCTCTGAAACAGAGAAGGGAGAAAACTGTTTAAAAGAGATATGTGATTAGGTATTTCGGTCATGACAGGAGTCTAGAGCGATGGCTACATGGTGGAGTGGACCTGGGGGAGGGTTTGTAAAATAATGAAAGAATCTTTTCTTTTACTTTTCCAAGAGGGTAATGTCTGGTGGGGGGGAGCCTTGGGAGGGGACAAATCTACAACAATGAATGAATGGAAATCCAAAGCCTCTGTAAATTTTCACTGAAATTAATAACAAATTTAAATTAAAAAAAAGAATTAAGTTAGAGTAAGGATGGCAATGGAACCACCTTACCTCTATAACTTGATTTGTGCCACTATTAGAACCTCTACTCAGAATATTATTGCTTTTCAATTTTTGACTCATGCACTTTTAACTTGTTAGTTAAATTTGTATCTTCTAGGCTGCAACACTTCCATGATACATCTTCAAGGATATGAACATGTATGGCTAAGCACAATTGATAACAGTGCATCTAAATTCCAAAATCAATCTCCATAATAGTCTATGTGTTTCCTACTGCCAAAGGGGCCCTTTAGAGTAGTGAGAGAAGATCTTCACCCTGAAACCCACAGCGTCCCTTTTCAGCAGGAAGTAGCTAAGAGAATATGCCATCCCCTTTTCCTTATGAATCAGGGTGAAGTCTCTCTCAGGGAGGAGTGATAGGGAATGGCAAAGGATACACTGACAAAGGAGATTAATCAGAACTGGCTTTGACAAGCACTGTGGCAATTGGACAATTAAAACAGACATGGGGGGGCGGGGAAGAAGAACGAACTGGGGATGAGGGTGGAGAAAACAGTGCAACAATGAATGAATGAAAACCCCAAATCTCTGCAAATGTTCATTAAAACTAATAAAATTTAATTAAAAAAAAAAGAGAGAGAGAAGGCTGATCTTGGGAGTGACCTGACCTTGGGAACCCTAGCTAGGAGCCTTCTCCCAAGTTCGTTTGAGAACTAGGGGAGAGATGACATAATTAGCACAATTAAGAGCTCTGTAACGCTGGCCTAAAACCCTAAGTCTGAAGACTGAGGTGCCTGCGAGCACATTTCAAAAGCTGTCCTGACTGAGCGACTGTGTACTGCTGCCAATCAGAATGACAGCCTTTGATTTCCCTAATAAACATACAGTGTCTAACACACTCAAGCCCACTGCCACAGCAGATCATAGAGTCAAACCATCTGGCCAAGGGTTTTCCTCTTTGGCAGACCCTTTCGGACAGAAACTGTGAGGATGGCACAGGCCAGAACAGTGTTCAGATCAGTTGTTTACAGGGTTGCTATGAGTCATTCTTGATGGCACCTAACACCACCACCATCAGAATAAAACGCATACAGAAAAGCAGACCTCCCTTAGGCAACCAGAGTGTGTCTCTCTGTCTCTCTCTCCCCTTCTCTCTTTATTCCTCACTCTTTCCTTCCCTTCCATCCTCCCGCTCTCTTTCTCTCTCGGTATACAAACAAGGAGAGGAAAGAAAAAGGGACATAATTCCAAAATTGTAATAAGTGATGGTCCAGGGGTTTAACTGTTTCACGGTAGGCAGGGACATAATTCCAAAATTGTAACAAGTGCTGGTCCAGGGGTTTAACTGTTTCACGGTAGGCAGAATGGCTCTCCAAAGATTTTTGTCAGGGAAGTAGGAGTGGCATTCACTTCCTAAACCACATGTCTCTGGAATCAATGAACCTGGAGAAATGACAGCTATAGAAAGGCTTCAAATTTTTTGCTCATAGGGTCACAAGGAGTCATGCTCGATTTGATGGCAATCAACAACAACATTATATCATCTAGGCACATTCTACTTATCCAGATACTTAGCAGTTCCACTGCCTATTTGTTCTATGAAATACTGGTAGAAAAATGTCATAGTCTATGGCGAGCTTTGGAGGCCTAGTGGCAAGAAGCTGCACTGCAATCCCAGAGCTGCGTGGTTCAAATCCATCGGATGCTCTGCTGAAGAAGGAGGGACAATCTCCTACTATACCAGTCAGATCCGATTTGATGGTACACACATAAAAAATAATAAAAAAGTCACAGTCTATAAAGATAATTTCTAAATAATCCATTTCTATTTTCAGATAGAATTTATACACACACACACACACACACACACACACACACATATGTGTAGGATTGTTACTGTTATCATTATGCAATGCCCCTCTTTATTCCTTGTTCTGAAATCTACTTTATTAATAAAACAGTTTCAGTTTTCTATATTTTTCTCCATTCATGTCAAAACACAAATTAGATATATAGGACTCATAAAAAGAAAAACGTTTGTTCACTAACAAACAGAATAAAGAGATAGCATTCAGGAGTAATAGATCTAATAAGGGTCTAAAATGCAAAAAACATAAATCTTACACAACCTAAAAAAAAAATATAACCTAACCAAAAAATGAGCAGAGGATTTTAACAAACATTGCAACAAAGGAACTTTTCATAGCCAATAAGCACAGGGAAACATGTTGAACATCGTTTGCAACTGTTGTTTTTGTTAAGCCAACTCTATAGAGACCCTACGAACAATGAACATCGGCCGATCCTGTACCACCCTCATCATCTCTGATGCTCTTCATCCATTATTAAAGTCATCTGTGTCAATCATCTCATTAAGGGTCTTCCTCTCTTTCGCTGACATTTCCAAGCATAATACCCTTTTCCTAGCACTGGGCCTTCCTAAAAACATCACCAAAATATATGACACAAAGCTTCATCACTAATCATGTGCTGAGCATAAAGACTAAATACGTATGGAGAAAGGATACAGCCCTGGTATTCACCTCTTCTGATTTTCAACCTTGCAGCCTTCCCTTGCCCTGTTCAGACATCAGCTTCTTAGTTTAGGTATAGGTTTCACAGAAACACAATTAAATGTTCTGAGATTCTCATTCTTCTCCATGGCAGACATAATTTCTCATAGCCCACACAGCCAAATGCCTTTGCATAGTCAATAAAGCCAAATAGACATTCTTCTGGTATCCTCTGCTTTCAGCCAAGATCCATCCAACACCAACAATTATATCCTTGTATCATGTTTTGTTTGTTTGTTATGTACCATTGACTTGGAACCGACCCATAGCTGACCCTCCAGTGGGTTTTCAGAAGCAGTAAATTTCAAAGGAGTTAAATGCCTATCTTTCTCCTGCAGAGCAACTGGTGTATTTGAACCTCATGCCTTTGGGTTGACAGTGCACCTCCTTACCACTGGTGCCATGGCTGCTTCTAAATCCAGCTTGAACTTCCAGCAAGTCTCTGTTCATGTACTATTCCAGCCGTTTTTTTATTATTTGCCTGTAAGATTTTATTTGCTATACTAATTATATTGTTTGTTAATGTTCATATTGTACTGGATCACATTTTTGGGAATGCTGATAAATATAGATCTTTCCTACTCAACTGGCCAGGTAGCTGTCTACCAGATGCAAACCAAAACTACAATGAGATTTCACCTCACCTCTATCAGAAAGACAATGATAGAAAAATTTAAACAAACAAATCTGGAATGGGGAATAAGTATTGGAGAAGTGGTGGGGAAAAGTACACCATTCATTCATTGCTTGTGAGAATATAAAATAGTACAACTGTTGTAGGAAACAGTCTAGAGCTTTATTACAAAGTTGAACATAGAACTACCATTTCATGTTTTATGACTCAGCATTCCCAAATCCTAGGTATACACTCAGAAGAACCGAAGGAAGCAAAGCAAGCAGAAACTTCTACACCAATATTCATTGCAGCATTTTTCACAATAGACAACGGCAAAAAAGAAGAAAAATATTCATCTTGCTTAGCCATAAAAAGAAATCATGAGAAAAAAACCATGCTAAGTAAGAGAAGTCCGTCAGGAAAGGACAAATATTACATGACTTCACTTATATAAAATATGCAAATAAACAGGAACAAAAATTAATTTACCAAGGTGAGCAAGTTAAGGAGGGGGCAGTATGTAGTTTGTATTAATAATGGTAGAATAATTAGTAAAAGGATGATGACAATGGCAGCACAACTTGAATAATGTAATCGATATTATGAATTATAAAGTGGAATTGTTAAGATGGTATATTTGGTTGCGTCTATTTTCACTACAACAATAAAAAAAAAATAAGGTCTTACCTTCAATCTGTTTTCCTTTTCCCACACAACCAATTTCATGATGGAAAATACACTTGGAGCGAACATGAGTATAAATATAAATGGGAAGAAAGGACTGGTAACCCAAAGTATTCCATCATAAGACGCCGCTGGGTGTGGAAATCTCTGAACAAAGACCCTGATGTTATCAAACAGCTTTTGTTTAGCACTGCTCTCATGATATAGCATGATGGCTTTATCCAAGGCATACTGGACGGCTAGGAACCCTTCTCTGATGTACCCTGCATGATAAAATAAACAGTGTCAAGTCAAATGGATGAAGCAAACCATATTAGGCAGTTCAAAGTCACCTACAGAACTGAAATTAATTATATCGTGGTTCTGATACAAACACAACAAATACTCTTTTAGCTAAATAATAATCACGTCTTCTAAATATGGAAATATTGAAAATAGTAGACCATCTAAAAGTAATTTCTATTTCCAAAAGAATCACAATCTAATTAAAAATAGGAGAGTTGAAGATTTAAAAAGTAAAACAAACCCATCTCTCAGAATACTCTAGTGACTAGTGACTATTACAGAAGGGCCACCAATGAAAATTCCATTTCACTGAAAACAAGTCACCTATTCCACCAAAAAGGCAGCTTACAGTTTACTTTTGCTTTTCTATTTTTCTGAAGTTTTAAAATTAGAATTCAGCAAATTTTAGATTTTTATCTTAGGAACATCTACCACTACAAATTTCCCTTTAAGCATTTTAAAAGCGTAAACATATTGTTGTTGTTATGTGTCGTTGAGTCGTTTGCAACTCATAGCAACCCTATGTACAACAGCCCTAAACTCTGCTCTGTCCTGTGCCAATTGTACTGTCTCTGATACACCCATCCTGATTACCCCACTCACTGAATCAATCCACCTCATAGGGGGCTTTCCCCCTCTGCGCTGTCCTTCCACCCTACCAAGCATGATGTCCCTCTCCAAGGACCTGTCCCTCCTTGCAACATGTCCAAAGTATGTTAGACAGAGCCTCAGAATCCTTGCCTCCAAGGAGCAGCCCGGTTTGACCCTTTCCAGGACAAATCTGTTTGTTTTCCTAGCAGTCCATGGTACTCTCAATACTCTTCTCCAGCACCATCGTGCTAATGAGAAACCTATACTTGGACCACAAGGCAGTCGTCAGAACAGAGCAAGGAAACACTGCATGGTTCAAAAGTGGGAAGAGTGTACTCCAGGGATGTGTCCTGTCTCCATAAGTTTTCAACCTGTATGCAGAACAGATTACCTGGGAGGCTGGGTTCTATGAGGAGAAATGTGGGGTCAAGATTGGTGGAAGATCTATCAACAATCTGTGATATGCAGATGATACAACCCTGTTTGCTGACACTGAGGAGGACCTGAAGCGCTTGCTGCAGAGGGTCAAGGACTGCAGCCTCCAATATGGACTGAGGCTCAATGTCAGGAAGACAAAGATTCTCACCACTGGGCCAACTGACAGCATCAGGATGGATGATGAAGAGATTAAGATTGTTCACAGCTTCAGTTTGCTTGGCTCCACAGTCAACACTCTCAGCACCAGTAGCCAGGAAATTAGAAGACGTATTGCCATGGGAAAGTCTGCTGTTAGGGACCTCTCCAAAGTACTGAAGAACAATGGTGTCTCTTTGGAGACTAAAGTGCGTCTCATACAGGCCATGGTCTTTGCTATCACTTGTTATGCATCAGAGAGTTGGACAATGACTAAGGAGGAGAGAAGGAGAATTTAAGCCTTTGAGCTGTGGTGCTGGAGAAGAGTACTGAGGGTACCATGGACCGCTTAAACATATACTTGTACTTTTTGCTTTCTCTCCCAATTTTAACAGGTCATACTTTCACAATTTAAAATGTTCTAAAATATTAACTAGTGATTTCTTTTTTGCACTATTTAGATATGTACAGGTTTGTCCTGGAGAGGGTGAAGCCGGGCTGCTCCTTGAAGGCAAGGATTCTGAAGCTTTGTCTGACATACTTTGGGCATGTTGCAAGGAGGGACCAGTCCTGAGCCAGTCTCACTAATTCTGACATACCAACCCCTATTGCCCCAGTTATAATATCAGTCCATCTCATCCGGGGTCTTCCTCTCCTGCACTGTCCCTTCACCATTCTGAGCATTCTGTCCTTCTCCAAGGACTGATCTCTCCAGGACACATGCCCAAAGTAAGTGAGGCAGAGCTTCAAAATCCTAGCCTCCCTGCACTGCAATCTCAGAGGTACATGGTGAAATTTCTGTGCAAACAAAGAGACAGAGAGCTGTAACCCTAGAGAAACAGTGTAAGATTATGAGACAGCAAGAGGCAAGACAGAGGCAATGGTGAGTAACAGCAGCTGCAAAACCAAGGGAGCACCACAAGACAGAGCTGTGGATTTTTGGTTCACAGAGTCAGGGCTTTTGGTTCCATAAAACTAGAGGGGAGAGCCTTCAAGTTATGGTTTACTGAGTGAAGTTCGGCTAAGCATTGTAATTAGCAAAGCTACTAAAGAGCTTTGTAATATTAGCCACGGACTACCAAAGAACAAATAGATATGCCATGGAGAAGGCATAGCCAGTGTTCCTTAAAGGTAACGGTGGTGAAGCTTCGTCTCACCTACTTTGGGGCATGTGGCTAAGAGAGGCTATTTCTTGGAAAGGAACATCATGCTTGGAAAGATGAAAAGATGGTGAAAGAGAGGAAGACCCTCAGTGAGATGGATTGACACAGTGACTGCAGTAACGACCTCAAGTGTGTCAGAGACGATGAGGATGGCGCAGAATAGGACAGGCTTCAGATCTGTTGTTCACTGGGTCGCTATGAGTCATACTTGACTAGACAGCATCTAACAACAATAGTCCAAGTCTGGCTGAGGCTGAAGATCAGAGTTGTTGATAGGTGCTTTTGAGTCAATTAGGATTCACAGTGATCAGAACAACAGATCTGAACCCTGTCCTGTCTTGTGCCATCTTTATCATCTCTGCTGCATGTTAGCCCACTGTCACTACTGACTGGGTCATTCCATCTCCTTGTGGATCTTCCCCTCCATTGTTGACCTTTCACATTTCTAAGCATGATGTGCTTTTCCAAGGATTGGCCTCAAATATGTGAGATGAAGCTTCATCATCCATGCTTCTAAGGAACACCTTGTATGTACCTTCGTTATATTTTTTTTGCTCCTTTGGCAATCCACGGAGAATTCATTATTCTTCTCTAACACCACAACTCAAAAGCATTGATCCTTCTTCTGTCATCCTTATTCATTGCCCAACTTTCAGATACAAAGAAAAGAAATGAAAAGACCATATGGATTGGATGCACCTTAGTCTTTAAACTAACATACTGCTCTTCAGCAGTTTGGAGAGGTCCCTAACAGTGGATTTCCCCAATGCAATGCTTCTTTTGTTTTCCTGATTGTTTGGTACAAGGGTGCTGATTGTGGAACCAAGTTAGATGAAATCACTGACAATTTCTATTGCTTCTTTCTTTATCATATTGCCTTGTGGCCCATTGGTAAGGATTTTTGTTTCTTGTCATTGAGATGTATGTAGTTTTCTGAAGGTGGCATTTCAAGCCTTCTTCACTTTCAGGAAGCAAGTTTGTATCATCTGCATAATGCAGGTTGCTGATGAGTCTTCCTCTGATCTTGATGCCACATTTTTCTTCCTAAGTCCACCTTCTCGAAGGATTGCTCAGTACACAGCTTGAAAAGGCATGGAAAAAGGATACAGCCATGAAGTACACCTTTCTTGATTTTAAACCATGCAGCATTCCCTCGTTCTGTTTGGACAACTGCTTTTGGTCTAGGTAGAGGTTTCACCTAACCATGATTAAGTATTCTGGGATTTCCATTCTTTTGCACGTTAGTGTAGATCATGATTTGTTATGAGCTACAGTGAAATGCATTCACATAGTCAATAAAACACAAAGATTCTTCTGATATTCTCTGCTTCAGTCAAGATCTATCTGACATCAACAGTGATGACCCTCATTTCCATGACCTCTTCTAAATCAAATCTGAATTCCTGGCATTTCTCTGCTGATGTACTGTTCTAGTAATTTTTTCATAATCTTCAACAACATACAGAAACTTTGCTCAGTCTGTGTCACCTTCAAAATCTCCGTTGTGCTTAAATCTATTGTTGCATTCACTATGTCAATCCATCATTGGAGGTCTTCCTTTCCTTTGCTGACCCTCCACCTTACCAAACATGATGTCCTTTTCCAAAGGATGGCCCCTTCTGATAACATGGTAGCAAGAATTGAATTGTGTCTCCCCCAAAATACATGTATGCAATGAAATAATATGGAAGCTATGTAATGATAATCCAGAAATTAAAACCAAATAGTTATAGGAAGATTAAGGAAATCTCAGAACACTTAATTGTGATCATATGAAGCCTATTTATTCCTAGAACAAGAAGCAGTGGTCCAAACAGAACAAGGAACACTGCATATTTTAAAATCAGGAAAAGTGGGCATCGGGGTTACACCCATTCTCCCTATCTAGTCAATCTATATGCTGAAAAAGCAATTCAAGAACCTCAGCAATATGAAGAAGCATGTGGCATTATGATTGGAAAAAGAGTCATCAACAACCTGTAGAAGACACACCTTTGCTTGCTGACAGTGAAGAGGACTTGAATCATGTACAGCAGAAGATCAAAGACTACAGCTTTCACTATGGATTACATCACAACATCAAGAAATCAAGAAATTTCACCACTGACAGGGGTTTAAGATCATGATGGACCAGAAGGCAAAATTATGACAGAGAAAAAAAAAACCCAAATTATCAGGAACTGAAGCATGCCTGGAAGCCAGGCTGCTGGGTCTGGGGATATGAGGAGCTGCAGTGTCCAGACCCAAGTTGTGCCACCAGGCTTGGGAGCATGTAGAAATAGACCAGAAACCACACAGACCCACAACACTCAGGTACATGCTGGGTAGTCAATCACAGGACCCAGCAGACTGTCTTTGCTGAGTAGCACACATTTTATGGACAGCAGTGACTGGAGCCTGAGCCATCATATTAGGAGTTGGTTAGAGGTCTCATGGGGTGGTGAAGTGAGGGGAGGTATGGGAGAGCAGCACTGAATTGCCAAATTTATCTGTCAGTGTTTATATTGGGAAGTGTCTTCACATGTTTCTGGTCTAGAAATGTATATGCTTGCTTGTCTATCATCTGCTTGTTGTAGTACAGTGCTTGTCTGTCAGATGCTGCACTAATGCAGAGCTCCTAAATTAAGACAGACTAGAAAGAAGGAATGGCCATCTACTTCTGAAATAGCAAGCCTTCAGAAACCCTATGAACAGATCTGTCCTAGAAAGGGTGAAACCATTTGCTCCTGGGGACAAGGATTTTGAAGCCCTGTCTCACATACTTTGAACATGCTACCAGGAGAGACCAGTCCTTGGAGTAGGACATCATGCTTGGAAGAGTAAAGGGTCACTACAGAAGAAAGAGATCTTGGATAAGATAGATTGACATACTGACTGTGGCAATGGCATCAGGTGGCTGAGATACAGTGAGGTTGGCTCAGGATAGGGCAAAGTTCAGAGCCATTATTCATAAGGTCACAAAGGGTCATTGTCAACTTGATGGCATATAACAACAACAACAACAACAAAGCACAAGGATATCAGTTTAAAGACTAAGGTCTGCCAATCCATGTGCAATGGTATTTTCAATTGCTTCCTATGCATCTGGAAGATAATATATAAGGAAGACCAAAAGAAGAATGTATGCCTTTGAATTGCGGTGCTGCTGATGAGTATTCAGTTTACCAAGGACTACCAAAAGAACAAACAAATCTGCCTTTTAGGTTGTGCAACCAGGGTGCTCCTTAGAGGTCAGGACGGTGAACCTTTATCTAACAAACTCTGGGCATGTTATCAGGAGGGACTTCTTGTTGCTATGTGCTGTGGAGTCAGAACCAAAGCCATTGCTGACCCTCCAGCAAGTTTTCAGAGGCAGTAAAATACACAGGAGGAGATTGTCCATCCTTCTCCCATGGAGCAGCTAGTGGATTTAAACTGCCTACCTTTGGGGTTTGCAGGGAAGCTTCTTACCACTAGACCACCAAAGCTCCAAATATATGGGAAAATATTATCATTCAGGGGAAGGTAGAGATGAGCCTCCTGAAGATGGAGCGATACAGAGACTCTAAAAATGGGCTTGAGCAAGGCAGAGCAGAGGGCGGTGTAGGTAGGATAGGGCAAGGTTTTGATCTATTGTTCATAGGGTTACTATGAGTTGAAGCTGACTTGATAGGGCCTAAAATAACAACATAAATGTGCAACCAATGCCAGTAAAGGAAAGCATGTGTATTATGTAAGCAGAAGAAAAAATCTCTATAAAGATCTATATTAGTGAAACTAACTATTTGCCATCGAGTTGATTGTGACTGCTGGTGAATATTACAGAGTAGCCCAGTGCTCCATGGGGCTTTCAATGGTTTCAATCTTCCAGGAGCAGATTCTCAGGGCTTCCTCCAAAGGATTTTTGGATGGATTCAAACTGTCAACCTTTCAGTTACGAGTCAATCACTTACTTTTGTTGAAATAAGACTGAAAAGAAGATAAAGCAAGAAGTAGACAGCAAGAGTTTCAAATAGACAGATAGGGCTGGAAGCAGTTCTGATGCCCTATAAATGAAAGTTTAGAAATCACCATGTTGTTGTTGTTAAGTGCCGTCAAGTCGTAGATGACTCATAGTGAACCTATGAATGAAAGACTTCAACACTTGTATAACTTTCATTATTTCTCTAAGTTCATAGAGTTTCTGGAGGCAAGCTATTATGGAAGTGGATGCCACTCCTGCTTCCAAGCTTGTTTTAATCAGGAAGCTCTACCAATGCTGTCCACCATGGGTAACCATTATTGCATTTGACATATCAGTGTCACAGTGTTTAGCATCACAGCAACCATGAGTTATCTCTGTATGCAATCCCAACAACAACAATAAACATATACCCTTACCTGGTAAATTAGCTTAAGTACACATTAGTAGGCAACTGTGATAATAAAAGAAGTATGCTTCAAAACATGCTCACCAGGACTACCCCCATCAGGGTACTTGGCATTCCTGGGTCCCGGAGAGGGCCGATTAGCAAAGAGTAAGGCCGTTTGCCAGCCTATCTTGTTTGGCTCCTGGATTGTCCTCTGTATCCTATGGAAACGCAGATGGTATTTTACCTAGAAGCAGAAAGATGGCAAAGCGTCATCTCTCATATGTTGGGCATGTTGCTAAGGAGGCTATTTCTTGGAAAGGGACATTATGCTTGGAAAGGTGGAGGGTAAGAGGAAGACTCCCAATGAGATGGACTGATGCAGAGACTGTGGCAAAGGGCTCAAATGTGTCAGAAATGATGAGGATGGCACAGCACAGGACAGGGTTCAGGCCGGCTGTTCATAGAGTTGACAGCACCTGACAGCAAGTCAGCATAGTAAACGGACTAATTTCTGCAAGGTGCATAAAATGAGTTTTGTTTTTATGCCAATCACAGGACCGATATTTTTGGCAGAAGCCAAAGAAAGATCACATACGAAGAGAAAGACAGGCCAGATACAAGGAAAATAGAAACTCATTTACTATGTTGTTGTTGTTGTGTGCCACTGAGGCTGAACTGATCCACAGCTGAGCCTCAGGCAGGTTTTTAGAGGTAGTTACTCGCACAGGAGGAGACTGCCCATCCTCTTCCCATGGAGGAGATGGTGGGTTTGAACTACATGCCTTCAGCTTCTTGCATCTAGGCCACCAGAGCTCCCTTGTTTCATAAGTTTCATAATAAAATGTAATTAATTAAAATTTTAAAAAGCAGAGGTACAATTATAAGACCTCAGAATAAAACATTCTCACCTGAAGTGGTAGAGGGTCACTGCTGGTTTTGAAGTCATTATGAAAAACAATGGCAGCCAGCACATTTTGGGAATTGAAGTCATATTTAATATAGTTCTCAAGATCAGTTTCTGAAGAAAAGCCTTGAACTGCAGAGAAAGAAAATTGTTCACATAAATAAAATTACTAATCCCTCCTATCTGACAAGTCGGGTATTATTATTATAAACATATCCTTTGTCAGCTCCTAGAATCAGGACTACAAAACCTGGTGAGATACAAAACCATTTTAGATGCACTGTAAAAATGTACTACAATTTTAAATCACATACAAAGAGAAAAGCAGACCAGAGAGAAAGATAATAGAAACTCATTTACTATGTTGTTGTTGTGTACCACTGAGTCTGAACCATAGATGACCCTCCAGTGGGTTTTCAGAGATAGGAGTTGCACGAGAGGAGACTGCCCATTCTTCTCCCACAGAGCAGCTGGTGGATTTGAACTGCATGCTTTAGGGATTGTAGCAAAGCTTCTTATCACTAGGCCACCAAAGGGTTATGCGATGACAATTGACCTTTAAATCTCCCAAGACTAATACGGCAAATTTTGTGTGTATATTATTTTAGCACAATTTTTTTAAAGAGTAGAAAGAAGTGAGTCGACACCTCAAGAAACTCAAAATAATAGTTGAGTGAATCCATTTTAATTAGAAGGAAAAAGGTAATACAGAGTGGAAAATAATGAAAAAGATAATACAGCTAATCAAAGTAGGAACACTAAATAAAAATAGAAATGAATTCTATGGAAAAAAAAGTAGAAGAACTATAGATTCACCAAGAATCAAGAAAGCTATTCATATAAGATATATAAAAGGGTTGTTATTGTTGATGTTATGTACCACAGAGTTAGAACTGATGGCTCATAGCTAAACTGTGGCAGAGGGTTTTCAGAAGTAGCCAGTTGCATGGGAGGAGATTACTCATCTTTCTCCAGGAGAGCGGCTGGTGAATTTGACCCACATGCTTTTGCATTGGCAACAAAACTCCTCATCACATTGCTGTAGACTACACTTGTCAAAACAGCAGAATAGTGTCATAAGTAACAGAAAAATATGAAATAAAAATAATGAAATGACAATTATTTCCACAATAAACTTGAAAATGTAAATAAGAATAAAATGTATTTTTAAAATACTAGTCAGATTTGATGGAAGAAAAAAAATAGAGAACTTGAATGAATCAACAGCCATTAAAGAAACTGACAGAGTTAGAACAAAAACTTCCTGCATGTAAATGAACCAGATCTATATGCTTTTACAGACCCTATTTTGTTAAACTTTCAGTAAAGAATACCAGAAGAATGTCTATTTGTGCTTCATTGACTATGCAAATCAATTTTACTGTGTGGTGCATAATAAATTATGGCTAACACTGAGAAGAAAAGGAATCCCAAACACTTAATTGTGCTCTTGCAAAACCTAGACCAAGAGGCTATTGTAGAAAAAAGAGTAGGGGAACACTGCGTGACTTAAAAGTAGAAAAAAGTGTGCATCAGAGTTGTATCCTTGCTATGCTGAGAAAATCATTCAAGAAGGTGGACGCAATGAAAAAGAACGTGGACTCATAACTGGAAAAAGACTCATCAATAACCTTCATTATTCAGAAGACACAACCTTGTATGCTAAAAATGAGGAGGGCTTGAAACACTTGCTGCAGAGGGTTAAACAATGAAGGCTTCAATATGGATTGCATCTCAACATTAAGAAGACAAAAATCCTCATGACAGATGGAGAAAAGACTGAGACTGTCAATGACTTAATTTACTTGGATCCACAATCAATACACTTGATATCAGCAGTCAGGAGATTAGAAAATGTATTGCACTGGTAAAGTCTGTAGTTGGGGACCTCTCCAAATTATTGATGAGCAATGATGTCAGTTTTAGGACTAAGGTGCGCTGGATTCAGGCCATAGTCTTTTCA